TCTAAGGTGAATACTTTGGAAAGACTCAATAAGGACAAATCAATAAAAATTATTATAGTACAATTAGATGTGGACAAGATAACTGTAAAAGATTGTTGGGGGGATTTTGAAAATCCAAAAGGATTCTGCATTCAAATTGCTTTTAAATGTCTTTACCTTCTCATTCCCCTTTAAAGAAATAAAAACTATATATTGTAGTTTATGCATTTTATGGGCGATTTATGGAAGAAATACAGGCTGCAATTCCAATCAGTGGACTCATACTTAAAAGAAAAGACTTGGCCCTACATCAAAAGATTGGCAAAGGAGCATACTTTTATATGTTTTAAGTTAAAATAAAATATTTAATACACAAAACCTCTGACCCAGTAAATTTACTCCTGGGTATAAACCTAAGAGAAACGAAAACATATGTCCACAAAAACACTTAGGCAGAGATGTTCATAGCAGCTTTTGTCATGATAACCCAAAATGGAAAACAAAATGTCTATCAAGAGGAGAATGGATAAACAAATTGTTACATACCCCTACAGGAAATAATACTCAACAGTAAAAATGAATGAATGCAGCAACATGAGTGACTCTTGTAGACATGACACTGAGTAAAAGAGAAGCCGGACACAAAAGAACCCCTACTGTATGATCTCATTTATATAAAACTGTAGCACAAGCAAAACTAATCTACAGTGCTAGAACTCAGGGAACTTTCTGGGGTGATGGAAATGTTCGCTATCTTGAGAGGACAAGTGAATCACACACCTGTTTCCATTTGTCAAAACTGTACAGTTAAGATTTGTGTATTTTAACGGACGTAAATTTTACTTAAGAAAATGGAATTTAAAAACTCAAGTCGGGGATGGGGAGAAGAAGAAGTTATAGATAAAGCAAGAATGGCCAAGTGTTGATACTTGTTGAATAGTATAATGAGGGAACATTATACTATTCTGATTGCTTTGTGTACATTTGGAATTTTACATAATAGTTTTTTAAGTTAAAATGTTTAAGGTATGTGTTACCCTCTATGATTACCAGATTTAACCAACCTCCTTGATGTCTGACCCCCTGCCTGGTCAGGGATCTTGCCCCACAGACGCCCGCAGGCTCTCTCCAAAGGGCTGAGCCACAGCCCTGGCGTGAGGTTAGCACACATAAGCTGTTAAACTCACAGCCAGGACCTGGGGTTACTGCTCTCTGGACATATCCTAACACAAAAATATCTGCCTTGTTTTATAATTGATTCGTGTCTTGGTAGCTCACTAAAACTTTAAGTGAAAGATGATGCAATATAACTGAAAAAAGAAAAAAACGAATTTTGTTATCACATAGAGCTAGGGTCAAATCTCAGGTCTGGCATTTTTAATCTATGTAAATTATAACAGTATAATGTCTTTGAGCTTCTGTGTTCTTATCTGTAAAAGGAAGCCAAACATTGTGCGCAGACTGCCGTTGCCTCCCCATGCCTGTCCCCTTTCTTTCACAGTTACAGAAGTCTTGAGACATGCATATGGTGTCACAGAACCTCGGCCTTCCTTGCAGCTAGGTGTGGCTGTATGACTAAACTCTGCCTATGAGAAACAGAAGAATGTATCACATGACAGCTTCTAGGAATCTTCCTTAAAAAGAAACTGGCAGACACCTTTGCTCCGTTTTTGTCATCCCTGTCTTCCATCTTGCTGCCTGAATGTGGATGTGATGGCTGGAGATGCAGCCTGTCGTGGACAGCCTAGGAGCAGAGTGGTGGGGAGCTGGCAGGAACTGGTACTTGAAAACCTCATGCAGCAGGGCTGCCTGCCTGCCCAGGCCTGCTCATCTACAGACCTTTATGCCACCGTTGGAGTCTCTATTACACAATTAAAAGTTCACAAGTGAACTCAAACTTAAATAATATCATACCTACTTCACAGTGTCCTGTGATGAGTGAACATGTAGACGTCTATAACACGTATCAAAAATACTAGTAAATAATTGTTACCACTACATCCTTTGAGTTAATGTCTTACTGGTTTTCTGTAACCTACTCTGGGTATAGCAATGAGTAACATGTAGTAGGCCTCGACAAATACTTGTGGGAGTGAATTAAATATATCACATTCCAGTTTTTATTGAAGGAAGACATACTGATCCAAAGGAGAATAACTAAAAAGTGTAATGGTCAAATGATTAACCAGGCAGGATTTAACATAATTCTAAAATCAATAATTGGTGGATGAAAACAATGGTCTATTGAGACAGATATCCTCATAAACCAAAAAGCAAAGTTTCTCAATATCAGCACTATTGACAATTTGGGCCAGATACTTCTGTCTTGGGTGGAGGAAAGGAGGCCGTGCTGTGCACAGCAGGATGTTTAGAAACATCCCTGGCCTCTACCCACAAGAGATGCCAGTAGCACCCTCCTTCCCCAGGTTGGAACAACCAAAAATGTCTGCAGACACTGCAAAATGTTCCGTGGGGGACAAAAATCACACTCCTGGTTGAGAATCACTGCTAAAGACGGAGGTATAAACTTATATAGCTTTTCTAAAAACAACTTGGTAATCAGTATTAGGAACTTTAAAAATATTTAGACATTTTCATCCAGAAATCCTAACTCAATGAAATAACCAGTAGTGTAAAGATGCACACTCATCAATTAAAAAAACACAACCTCATTTAAAAAGGGGCAAACAATCTGAGTATACATTTCTCCAAAGAAGATAAAGAAATGGCCAATAAGCACAGGAAAAGATGCTCAAAATCATTAGTCACCAAGGAGATGAAAATCAAAACCACAATGAGATATCACTTCACATCCACCAGGATGGCTGTAATCAAAAAGACTGATAATAACGAGTGTTGGTGAGGATGTGAAGAAATGAGCACCCTCATACACTGCTGGTGGTCATGTAAAAACAGTACAGCTGCTCTGGAAAACAGTGGCAGTTCCTCAAAAGGTTAACCACAGAGTTTCCATTTGACCCAGCAATTCCACCGCTAAGTGTATACCCAAGAGAAATGAAAACATATGTACACACAAAAACTTGCACACGAATGTTCATAGGAGTATTATTCATAATAGCCAGAAAGTGGAAACAACCCAAATATCCATCAACTGATGAACTGATAAATAAAATGTGGTATATCCATACAATGGAATACTATTCAGCAATAAAAAGGAATGAAGTATTGAGACATGCTACAACACGGATGAACACTGAAAGCATTATGCTACGTGACAGAAGCCAATAACAAAAAGTCACATATTATTCTAATTATATTAAAAGTCCAGAATAGGCAAATCCATAGAGACAGAAAGTAGATTAGTGGTTGCCTGGGTCTGGGGAAGGGGGACGTGGAATGGGGAGTGACTGCTGATGGGTATAGGGCTCCTATGTGGGTGACGAAATGTTCTACAATTGTTCTAAAATTGATTGTGGTGATGGTCACACAACTTTGTGAATATACTAAAAGCAATCCAAGTGTACACTTTAAAGGGGTGAATTGTATAGTATGTGAATTAATAAAGCCATCATAAAAATACTCAAAATGTCAACACATAAAAGGATGCATATTGTTGTAATTTATTTATAAGATTTTTTTTCTGCTTTATCTCCCCAAATCCCCCCCATACATAGTTGTATATCTTAGTTGCAGGTTCTTCTAGTTGTGGCATGTGGGATGCCGCCTCAACATGGCCTAACGAGCGGTGCCATGTCTGCGCCCAGGATCTGAACTGGCAAAACCCTGGGCAGCCGCAGCGGAGCGCAATACTTAACCACTTGGCCATGGGGCTGGCCCCCTATAGGATTTTTAAAATCAGAAAATACCTAAATACAAAGCAACAAGGAATGGTAAAATAAATTCTCCTCAGGCATATGAATAAGCATTAAGTAATAATTTTAAATAATCTTTCCAATACTTACTAACACAAGCAAATCTCATGCTGTTATCTTAAGGGAAAAGGCAGAATGTAAAATCTGCACTTAGACACACACGCACAGAAAATTTATAAAAGAAAATCCACAATCAGTGAAGAATGGTTATTTTGGGTGGTGGGATAAATGGTGATTTTTATTTTCTTCTTTTTCTTCTATAGTTTCTATATTTCCTACACAGCATATATGTTTATAATCAGGATTTTTTTTTTTCGTGAAGAAGATTGTCACTGAGCTAACATCTGTGCCAATCTTCCTCTTTTTGTATGTGGGATGCTGCCACAGAATGGCTTGATGACCAGTGTGTAGGTCCACGCCTGGGATCTGAACCTTCGAACCCCAGGCCACCAAAGTGTAGTGCACAAACTTAACCACTATGCCACCAAGCCGGCCCTGAAAAATATTTTTTAAAGATTGAGAAAAAAAGAAAGCTTATTTCCAAAACTTATTTGAGATTTACAGACTATAAGAGTTGAATAGAGAATTATAGGTCGTGTGGTCAAACCTTCTACTTTTACTGATGAAGTAACCAGAGCCCAAAGAGGCTAAGGGCTTTGGCCACCGTCACCCACCTTGTCAGAGTATGAAACTGAAACTGAAGCTCTTCTCTCCTCCTTTTCTTTCTCTCTTGATGACCCCCCTACACACACAAAGGCAGCTCCAAAAAAGTAAAATAAATTGAGGGATGGACCTTGAGGGCATTATGCTAAGACAAATAAATGTCAGACAGACAAAGACAAATATCGTATGATCCCACTTATGTGTGGAATCTAGAACAAACAAACAAGCTCATAGATACAGAGAACAGACTGGTGGTGGCCAGAGGCAGGGCGTTGGGGGTGGGCAAAATGGGTGAAGGGGGCCAAAAGGTACAAACTTCCAGTTATAAGATGAGTAAGCCCTGGGGATGTGATGTACAGCATGGTGACTACACTTAACGATACTGTATTGTATACTTGCAAGTTGCTAAGAGAGTAGATCTTAAAAGTTCTCATCAGAAGAAAAAAAAGATTTACAACCATATGTCGTAAGGGCTGTTAAGCAGACTTACTGTGGTGATCATTCTGCAATATACACATATATTGAATCATTATGTTGCACATCTTAAATGAATATAATGTTATATGTCAATTAGATCTCTATTTTTAAATAAAGAAGTAAAAGAAAAAAATTGAGTGATTTCTTTTCCCAAATTGGATTCTGTTCTAAAATTCCTACAGGATTAGACAGAAAGACCCAACAGTCTCTCTCCTAGACCAGTAGAGGGCAGTAGCAAGTCAAGCCAGGCAGAACCTTACGCACAGGGCATACACTAATGAGAATAATCATCTTTTTTGGCATCAGAAGGAGACAAACATGATTAAAATCATGCTGACCCTGAGATGACCGTCTTCAGCTTTCTCTAGCAAGCGCTGGCTAAAGGAGTCTTTTTGAAGTGGGCCATTCTGGTTCCCGTCCCACAAGAACAAGAAATGGATGATGTTCCAGGGAACAGCACCGGCAACAGCTCCCACAGTTTTCAGAGCAGCAGTCCATAATCACCTCATCTTCCGGCTCCGAGCGCCGTCAGAGGGATCCTCTGGGCTTCGGCATCCCTGGAGGCGGTGCAGATGGAAGGCTGGAAGAACACAGAGTGAACGCTTCTATCAAGATAACAAGCTGCCGGTGCTGTTCCTTGGGGTCCCGAGCCCTCCACACAAGAAGAAGAGAATCAGGTCAGAAACAAGAGCCCAATACACCTCAGCGGACACAAATGTTCAGTGAAATTTGGCAAGCCTCCTTGTTCCCAAACGATTCCCAGACACTGGTAAATTGGAGAGTGGTCGGTGTTGAAATCGAGACACATGGGCCCGGCTGCAAAGTTTGATTACTCCCCTCTCTCCACAACACGTGAAAGTGGAAAATACAGACTTGGAGGAACAGCGTTCACCGTCCTCAGGAAGTCCAGCTGAAGAAGCTTCTCTCAGACAGGCAGGGCCCCACCACAGGGCTTCAGCCCTGCAAGAGGACCCCGTTCAAGTCCCAACCCCGCCACTCACTTCAGGGGAACCTGTGCGAGTTACTCAACTTTTCTGTGCCTCATCTGTAAAGTGAAGATAATAATAATACAAGTTCCTACTTCCTAAATTGTCACGAGGATTTACATAGTCCCTGACACAGGACTAGTACTCAACAAATGTTAGCTATTGTCTGGTGCTGGTGGTGATAGGGATAAAAATCTTAAAATACAGGGCTTCCCTAGCATCATTTCATAAGCCAGTGTAACATCTTGGGGCCTTTACTATGGGGAAATTCTCTCTTAATTTAAAGACGCTCAAAAAGCTTGTTAGACAATCAATCATTCAAAGCAACCCAGGATTGGAAAAACCCCTATGTTACACAACTAAAAATTATCTCTAAAATCTGCCCCAGGTTGTACAAGCTGAAGAGTGTATCTTTTCTTGCCTAAGCTGCTGGTTGTGGAAGTTCTTCCCCAAAGGCAAATTCACTAGGGTGTGATGTGATGGTTTAGAAACACAATGTCTACACTTTTATCAGTTGCTGTACCAACAGTTGAAAAGCCAAGTAATTCCCCATAATAGATATATGCTAGGAGAAACAATTAGAGTAAGATTAAGTAGTGTGGCTCATTGTATTTTCCAAAGGTGGCCACGGCAATATTTCCTATTACACAGGATCCTTCCCCCATCAAGAGGTGGGGCTTGTTCCCTCCTATTGAATCTGGGAGGGCTTGCAAATGATGCCATGTGACTTCCCAGGCTAAATCATACAAGACAGTATGGCTTCCTCCTAGTTTTCTTTGGGATACTCATTCTTGGAAGCCAGCCACCATCCTGTGAAGAAGACTAAGCAGCACTTAGAGAGGCCATGTATAGCTTTCTCTCCAGCAGCCCAAGCTGGGGTCCCAGGCAGCAGCTCCCATCAATTGTCAGACATGTAACTAGGCCACCCTTCAGATGATTCCAGCTCCAGAGGCCAAATCATTTCCAGCCTTTGAGTCTTCCCAGCTGAGCCCCCAGACAGCACTGAGCAAAACAGATCATCCCACTGTGCCCTTTCTGACCTGCAGAATCTGCAAGCCCAAGAAGATGGTCGTCATTTTAAGCTACTACGTTGGGGAGTCACTCATCACACAGCAATAATAACTGGAGCAGCCGGCAAGAACAGCTGTCTCTCACTGAAGCAGGCTAGGCTCTAACGTCTGTAAACACCTCCCACTTTGCTAAAATCTTGGATTCCACAATAACACACTAATTCTTTTGGCTTAAAGTTTTACTCCTCTTGAAACATAGTGGGGAGTATAGGCAGAAACCCAGTGCCCCAATTCAGGAGCTACCAACTAGTAATGGTACAACTTTGGGCAAATCACTTAAAACGTGGGTCTTATGTTGCATCCCTTTCCTCCAGATCCACTCTCCACCCTTCTCCCCTCCAACTTGGTGTCTCCAGAGATGGACCTTATGATACATCAAGGAGCTTCCAGCAGAATGTGACCAGTTGAAGGCACCAGCAGGAGACCCAGAAGACAGCAGGAGGATGAAGTGTGGGTATTCATTCCCACAAAGAAAAACAGTCCTGCTTCTCCTCCCTACACTCTACTCTCAATAATTCTGACCACCAAGTGTGTGAAGAGGTTTAGCCCCACCAAGCAGTTCTCAACACCATCTGGGTGTCCTAAAATTTAACTCAGTTCTGACACTATCTACTTGAAGGTAGTGTCATATCCCACAGGTTAAGAGCTCAGTCCCATAAGACTGTTCCCACTTCAGGTGCCAATTGCAAGTCCAGGTTGTCACCTGGGCTTCTGAACAACTGGCTGTAAATTAGAGGTTCCCACAACCCACTCCTCAGGTTCAATCAGTTGCTAGAACGGCTCACAGAACTGAGGAAAACAGTTTACTTACCAGTTTATCATAAAAGGATACAACTGAGGAACAGCCAGATGAAAGAGATGCATAGGGCAACGTACGTGGGAAGGGGTGTGGGGCTTCCATGCCGTCTCCAGGCACACCACCTTCCAGCACCTCCACATGTTCACCAACCCGGAAGTTCTCCAAACCCCACTGTTCATAGTTCAGAGTTTACGGAGGTTTCATGACGTGGGCTTGATGGATTAAATCATCGCCCTTTGGTGACTGAAATCAATCTCTAACTCCTCCCCCCTCCTCAAAGTGGGACTGAAAGTTCCAACTCTAATCACATGGTTGGTTCCCCCGGCAACCAGCTCTCCTCCTTAGGGGCTTTCCAAAAGTAACCTCATTAATATAAGCTCAAGGGTTGTTGAAAGGGACTTGTTATGAATAACAGATGACACATTTATTGATCTTATCACTTAGGAAATTCCAAGGAATGGGGATGAAGATGAAATATACATTTCTAATTATAAATCATAATATCACAATTCCCCTCTCCCTCTCTGTGGGTGGCCATGGCCTGGGAGCCTCTCTCAGCCAGAAGTCACAGCTCCTCTGAGGCAGTGCTCCTTACACAGTTCTTTCTCTCTCACTGGTTTCTAATAACCGCTCCCTTCCCAGCCCCTCAGGCCTTGGGGTAGTGAAAGCACCCCTCTATTACTAGCTGCGATGACTTACCACCCCCCTCTCACACAGTTGCAAATAATTCCTCAAATTGCTCACTCGTGCCTCTGTTTCCTCTCGGGACCCTGACCGATTAAGAGTTTCTGATTCTTCATTGTAAAAAGGAGATTCCATTCATCCAGCCTGCTCCCTAGATCAGGCAAAATAACCAATGTGACCGTCTCCATCAGGTCCAGTCACAAAAGAAAAGGCACCCTGAGCATTTCAAACAGATGGGATTTAATACAGGGAACTGTTAACACAAGAGTCGCAAGGCTGAAACAACAACAAAAAGATGCTACGTAACTCAGATAACAGGAACTGCAGAGCCAGGGGAGCCAAATGGAAGAGGTGGTGTTTCCGGAACTGGATGCTCTGAGGAGGGACCCCTGCATCGCTAATGCTCAGATCCCCAAAGGGGGCATTGTGGGGCTGGGGCTCAGACCCTTGCAGGCTGCCTCTGGGTTGGTGCTGAGTCTGGTTAAAGCCGTCCTCTCTGCAGAGGGACAGTGACAAGAAGGCAAATGGGAAGGAGTTTCCCCCGCCCCTCCTACCTCCTTTGACTCTCCCAAATTTGCCTCCCCTTGGCAGAATCTAACACAAGGCCAGCTGGCCTGAGCGAGTTAGGACCCGAGTCTGAAGCTTCCAAGTCCAGCATCACAGGTGACAGTACAAAAGGTAAATAACCGGTTCATTTACAGAACTGGTTCTGTATTGGTTGTGGTTCGAACCAAATCCCCCAGACTCGTTTTCTGACTGGAGCAGCAGCACATCGTGTCTTTGCTCACACCATGAATGACGGCGACCGCCTCAGAAACGACGCGTGCACCAAGGTCGGCAGGGCCTCGAGCACGTGACGGCCTGGGGAAGCGGTCTTGGCCACTGCCAGCTGGCACACTCCTCCTCCAACGCCCCCAAGAGCTGAAAGCCAGCAGTTCCCCCACACAGCAGCCCTCTGCGTTGACAGATAAAGCCCTCAGTCCAGCACCCCAAGAGCTGGAGACCTGCGAAACACCTCGTTGCTACGGTTATCAACTCCGGCCTTAGAGCGACGGTTTTTAAACCATTTTTAACAATGCATCCTTTTCTGTTTGTATTTTTATGCCTTACGTAGAGCCCCAAATATAAATAAAACGGATAAATCTGGTGCTGCATTAGCTGAAATGAGGGGTCCTCAGAAACTGGCCGGATGTAGCCGTCACCCCCATGCGGTCCCTTACACAGTTCTCCGGGTCTCTGAGGAACCGAGTTTGAGAACCACCGAGTGCTCCCTTAAGCAGTTTAGTAACTTCAGACATTGTTTAACACGGCTGTGCAAGCAACTTACTAGGTATAGCTCAACATTCGAAGAACCAGAGGCCGCCTTCTCACCATAGTTAGAATCCAGGGGAAAATTCCTCCAGCTTTATCTACAGACACCCCAATTTCCTCCCACCCAAACTCTCAAACCCCACTGCACAACACACGTTTTTACACCACAGCTTTCCCAAAGATCTCCAGGCTCAAGCAAAACTGCAAAAAAAGTTGTATTCTAGGTACTGGATCCGTGACACGGGCCCTCCGGCTCCGGGGGCCCGCCGGGCGGTCGCGCGGCCCTGTCCTCCGCAGCCACCGCCGACGGCGCAGCGCCAGCGGCCCGGGCGGCCCCGCGTGGTGGCCCGAGGGCGGCGTTCCGCCTCAGGTAGTCCACGTAGCACGCCAGCAGCAGCTTCCGGAAGGCGCCGCTGTGGAAGACCCAGGGCGGGATGTGGCCCAGGAAGCTCGCCTGCAACAGACAAGAGGTGAGTGTCTGGGGGAGGCGACGAGCGAGGAGTCACAGCAGAACATCTCCCTTTACAGCCATCATCTTGACAACTGTTCTCTTCTGACTACTGAAATTAAGACTCCAAATCTTTTAAGTAGCTGCTAAAGTGTAAAGGTCTCATGACACTTTCTTAGCAAAGTGGTCTCCGAAACCAGAGCAGTCCCTTGCAGGCTCGGCCCTGAGGAGATTCTAAATTTAGAGAATTCTGTCCGTTGTCACCCCGTCTTCCCCTTTCTCTCAGTGGCGTTTTCTGTTCCCCGTGCTCGAGTGCCAGCGCCCGCAAGTTCTCTCCGCCGAGATTCTATTAACGCGAGATCCCGGGAGAGAGTCGGCAGCGCTTTCCCTCGCGCGGCTCCCTGTCCGCGATCGCGCAGGCGCAGGCGCAGGCGCAGACCGCCCACCCCAGCAGGGCGCGCGCGCTGCGCGGCGCCGGGAGGCAGGAACTAGCACGCGGCCTGCGCCTCGAAGACCGAGGAAGCCCCAGGTCGAGGCGCCGGGTCGAGGCGCCGGGCCCAGGCCCCGCAGGCTGCTCCCCTCAGTCACGCCCGTGTCCTGGAAGGCAGGCCCAGGCCCCGGAAGCAGTCACCGTGTGCTCACTGCGATCCTGTTAACCGCACATTGCTCAATCCATGCGCTGCCCAGGGAACACCGGAATTTCAGCCAGAGGAAAACGAGCTTTCCAGGCAGCGTTCACATTGCTGCAGGCTGCTCGGACCTTCGGATCCTTGGCCTGTCTGAGCTGTTCCAAAGCAGGGGACTAAAGACGGCTTCTGGGAGCCACACTAGAGCCCTTCCTCCACCGGCCAAGTCAAGAAATCAACACAACTTCTTCCCCAAGAACTTCATTTTCTCCCTGTCAGAGCTTTTTTTTACCTCACAGCAAAATCAAGCCCTTTCGTTAGCATTGTCTTGAACTAAATGTTTAGGCTTAGTGAAGTCAACCAGAAATAAAATAAATTAAGAAAATTAAAATTCCAGTCCCTAGAAAATGTTCTAAAAGGTTCCCTCTTTCATCTACCTCCTCACAACTCAGAAGGCCATGTGGAAGGAGCCAGGAAAGGCTTGTCATGGACAAAAGTGGACTTCAACCCTAGTGTCACCATTCCAGCCAGGTGGCCTTGGGCGGTCTCATCCATCTGCGATTCACTGGCTCTGACTCAGCTCTGAGCTGCGCTTTCCTCAGCTGTAAAAGAGGGGCCACATGACCTGTCTCGCAAGATGAGTAGGGGGATTAAGTGAGGTAACTTATGACCCCCCCCCCAAGTGCCACATGGACCCTTAGGTACCAGCTCCATCCCTGCCCCAGTCCCTCAGTCCCTGCCCAAACTCCCCGGGGTTGGGGGGGGGGGGTGGTCATGCTGTCTTGGCCTCACCTCTTTGTAATGGAAGGGCTGCTTGTTTGCCATCTGGTTCTACATGATTACCCGTATCTGTCCATTCAAGGATCTTTCTAAATCCAGGTAAACTTCAGATTTGCTTTAATGGTTTTAATGATTATATTCCTTTGTTTTCTCTTTTGCTTCACCAGGCACAAAAAAAAATCTGTTTCCTAGTCTGTTCTTGGCATCTCTTTGCCAGAAGAGATTAGGTTTGTTACATGAGAAATCAAGAGAAAAGTAAAAAAAAATTCAGCTTTTGACATCTAGAATTGGATTATGTAGCAAGACAACAGTCTTGCAGGCCAGGCAATTGTCTCAAAAAAACATTGTCTAGGGGGCCTGCCCAGTGGCATAATGGTTAAGTTTGCATGCTCCACTTCAGCAGCCCTGGGGCTTGTGAGTTCGGATCCTGGGCGCAGACCTCCATACCATCAAGCCGTGCTGAGGCGGCTTCCCACATAGAAGAACTGGAAGGACTTACAACTAGGATCTACAACCATGTACTGGGGCTTTGCGGAGGAAAAAAGCAAGAGGAAGATTGGCAACAGATATTAGCTCAGGGCCAATCTTAAAAAGCATTGTATGTATGTGTGTAAAAAAAAAAGTCTAAATGCTTTTAGAAAAAAAGACATTTAAGACATCAACATCCTGGAGGACTAAGATCACAGAGTTCTCCTGAGGGGCGGGCCGAGGGGATGTCTTACCCATTGGAGCTAGCTAAACCACTCCAAGATGGAGAGGATATGACACTGGAGAAGCAGACAAAAAGCCTGTACTTTTTCCTGCCCCGGAGATGGTGGGAAGTGGAAGAAAGAGGAAGATATGGCCAGATATGTGTATCCCCTGGGCTTAGGCTGCGGGGTGGAGGACTGGAGGATTGGGGTGAAGGATAGGGAAGTGTGATAAGTAAGGGTGGCACTGAGGAAAAAGGAGGAGTTATTGCCCCCACTCTTTTGGAGTGCAACCACAGAACACGATCTCACCGTGGCAAGGTAGGGGGTGAGATTTTGGGTTTCCAGCATCCTTCAGGACCACATTGGTACTGATGCGAAGGTGAGAGCCAGAGGGCCTGTATGAACCCAAGCTGCAGATGGACTGCAGGCCTATGGCTAGATGGGGGAGGTAGCAGACTCAGGGGTCTGTAGCCATCAGTAGCGAGTGGGGAGTCCACTGGCCAAGCCAAAAGCACGGAAAGGGTCATCACCCTCACTTCCCACAGCTGTAAGTCAGCAAGGTGAGCAACCACCAGATAGATGAGGGACATCAGCCACACACACTACAGATCAGCAGGACATTATGGGGCTCTTCTCCCCAGTGTCATCTTGGTCAGCGAGGCAGGAAGAAGGGAAACTCCCAGAAAGACTGAATATTTTCCTCTAAATAATAGACAGAGAACACATTTCCTAAATGGCCAGTTTAGATTACCAAGTCAAATTAAGTTTAAACTTGCTGGACATTCCATTATTTTGTTTTCCTGCCATGCAGCAAGTGGCAGTCTGGAGAACAGATCAGCAATATTCAAAATAAAGATCTTATGTTCTTTCTGCCTGCCCACTTTGTAGTGTGAGCTCACTTGGTGATTCTGCACATTGTTGAGGTCCTACGGTAAGAGTAGCAAGTCGTTATCTGAGACAATTCGGTATCTCTTACCGTAGTCTCAGTAAGTCCCAGGAGGTAACTGAGTGCTTTGGGAGGATTTAGTGCCTCGACCATGAATCCTTCCAGCATCAGAGAGAGAGAAAGAGGGAGAGGCCTAATTCCCGTGGGAGAAAAGCCTACGAGGCAGAGGAGGGGGTTGACATATGGCGGAAGGTAAAGAACGTCTGATGCTGAAAGCAGAGCGGCCCTGGCGCCACGCTTGTCTCTTTCCAGTATCAGCCCACAGTATTCAGGTCTACCTTCGTTCCATGTTTTTGTTTGTTTCTGAAAGCAGCCCAAGAATAGTAAGAACTCCTCATGCCATATGCCATCAAACCTTATTTCCATATTTAGTGGAGTCTGTGGTGTGCAGGAACCAGCCTGGACCTGCTCGTGAGAGTCGACTGTGCACATTCCTCTTGAATTCATGTGCAGTGACCACACACTGGTAGTTTAACATTGGCCATGGGGGGAGAATTTACACCATGGAAATCAGCAAATACTACAGATCAACATGTTTTGTTTTGCTTTTTTCCTGGAGAGCTGATAGTTAAACATTTACTAGCACAGAGGGCCAGGGAAGACAGCAGCCCCCCAGGGAAGCTCCCTGTGTCCTGGTCTCCCTTCCCAAGAGCTCTGGGAGCCTCCTTACTTTCTGAGGGGGGAGGTGAGGCAGCCAAGGGTGAGATTTTCCAACTTTGGGGTGATCTGTGGACTGAGCCCCAGGCCTCTAGCTTCTCCTCCCCTTTCTACATATGCCTTTTCACGGGCTACGCTACCACTCAGAGCACACCCTCTGGCACCCAGTTCTTACCATGAGAGAGAATGGTTGCATGTTCCAATAGCGAGGAACAGCTAGCTAAGCCCTGCTAGGGCCCTGCATGTCTGTCCTCATTTGCTTTGAGGAAAGAGAAGTTATCAATTACCAAGATTTCATGGACAAGGCAGCCACAGGTTTCATCTCCAATTGTGACATAATTCAGTGATTCTTTAGCAAACTCATCGGCAGTCTTGGTTATCATGTTGGTTTTTAGGTACTTTGTCATTGGGGTTGAAACAGCATATGGAGTCAGCACCTACAATGGAAAATAAAGACCATAATGCAGGAGCAATCGGCCCAGCCCTGAGAAATTAGCACCCATTTTACTATCTCTTCGTTCTCCAACTCTTTTCTTCCTATAAAAAGTTTCAGGATCCTAAATGATAATGGTATAGAACTGGTGTAGAGCTGGGAATCACAAAGGCTGTTTTCTTGTTTAACTTAGGCACTAACTCAAGATGAGGCCTTCACCACACAACACTAGGTGGTTCAAACGCACACAGGGTGGCTGAGGACGTGGTTACCAGACTTCGAAAATAAAAATGCAGGACACCCACCGGAGATATTCTCTCCTGGGTATTGTAACTGAAAATCAGTTTGTACAGCAATAGTTTTAAAGACATAACTGTGGATGTGCCTTTTTCATTTCTAATAGTATGTTGTAAAACTTCTTCCCAAACAATAACAAAAAAAATCTCTGTAAACTATTTATTCCAGGTTCCAGAAGCCCTTAACTCTAACTGTGTTGCTGAACCAAACACATGTATATCACTGACACCTCATGATGTCGTATTGTTCAGCCTACAGATGGCACTGACAACCCAACTCTCGGGTTAAGACAAAGTCATCTCCATGACGATTCTGCCGTTGAGGTGAGGGGAAGCAGAGCGCTTCTTCCTAGCCTGCACAAGAACAATGTGGGCTCTTTGTGGCCTGTCCCAGGTGAACAGCCCCAAGGGGAAGCTCCCCTCCCCTCGTCCCAACATGGACCCAGAGCCTAGTTTTCTTTTGTTCCTTCTCCACAGTTTCTCCCATGTAAGCCTGTTTCCTGTACTTAGATCGGAGAGCACAGGATGGTAGACAAGACCCCAATTTCTGTCCTGATGTAGCAACAGGTAGCAAGAGGGTGGACAGGGTGCCACAAGGTCAGCAGCAGGCGGAACCGTGATAGTCACAGGAACTCACGTGGTGTCATCCAGACCACCTCCCTCCTGGTCACTCATGTGCACCCAGTCCTAGGTGGCAGTGGCCTCGACACAATGGGGATCCAGAGTTCCTGTTCCTAAAAACTCAGAACTGTTGACCTTACCTGGATTATGATGCCTTTCGCTTTATATTCTGCTTGCAGCGCCTTGGAAAACGTGCGCATAAAAGCCTGGAGCAAGAAGGAGAAACACCCGAGGAATAAGAGCTTCCTTTCTCCTTCTGAGCCAGCACACTCGGACTTCAAAGGCACCGCGGAGAGCCTGCCGCTCTACCTTACCGCGCCGCCCTTCAATGTGATGGGAGTTAGGACTTGACTTCTCAGTCTGGGAAAGAGCTCTCTCAATGAGCAGGAAGAGACATTTTGCGATAAGCACACACCCAGGGCCACTGCATATAGGTGACCTTATCCAGGGCAAGCTCTCCCTTGTCTAGAGCAGCCCCTCCTCTGAGGATGTGTTTTCATGTCTAGGGCATGGGCACTCCTGGCTAGGCCTCCAGGACAGAAGGAAGGAAGACCTCCCAGGCAAGGAGGTGAGTGGGGGCTGGAGTCCCACGGGGCTGCACTTGGCCAGCTGTGCAGCTGCAGGCCTTCATCAGCCCAGAGGCAGTGCCTTTTTCTTATTTGCACCCAGACGCCTGCTGACTAGCTCCACTGTAAACACAGAAGAGCCCCCAGGCACATCAGTCCATCAGCTTGCCAAGTGATCCACAGGAAATTCCCACTGAGGAAAACAAGAGGGAGAAGAAGGGGCCTGGGACTATATGCTATCACTCACCTTGGAAGCCGAATACAGGGAGTATATGGGCCAAGGAAAGAGGGCCACCCCGGAAGAAATGTTCAGGATGAGACCTTTCCGCCTAAAAGGCAAAGAAGCAAAGTTTCAATTGCTTTGCTGTCTGATCACACCTCTCAAAAAGGAAGAAACCAGAGGCTCATGTGAAGGCTGGGAAAACTCCGTCCTCTCTCGGCTTCCCCGGGCACTGAGTGCTCTGCTGCCGAGAAGCGTGAATGGAACTTCCGCTACATCATGACCTATGACACTGCACAGTGATGTCACTCGGCAGTCAGTTGACATCAAGGACTTGTGGCTGGAAACAGGGGCTCTGCTACAACAAAGATCCGCCACCAAAATGCAGAGAGCCAACTCAGCTCAGATGAGGCTCAGGGGGAAGGGAGCCTTCTCTCTCAAATGTGACCACGTGAGCTCGAGGTCCCTTCTGACTCGTAAATATGACCACAACAGGACAGACGTCATATGCAGAATCCTGCCTTTGGCAGAATTTGACAGTCCATCATCTGCTCACACAGGCACCCCCACAAGTCTCTGAGGTCCTTAATTATCCTTTTGAAATTCAGTATCCTTAATCCTTCCCAACTAGAAGAGTTCAATATGGACAAAACAAGAAACTGCAAATTAGAATGCAAGGACAAGCCCCTTCTTCCTCCAGGGAAGATAATACCATTGACAGCTTGCTTCTAATGAATACCACCTGAGAAAAGCCAGCTCTCAAACGGGTGTTGTAACAGACTGGTAACATGGAATAAATGGAGATGCTGATGGGGTGGTGATTTTTACCACTAAATTGGAGTATTCATTCTGACAAGAGCTGAAATTCCTAACAACAAAGAGATGGTCCTGTCTCAGGCCAACTTCTGAAGTCTTTTTCTTGCTCACCATGAGTTAATTTTTTAAAATACTATGTGTGCTGAAAATGCTGTTCTCTTCCTCCCTCCAGCACGTGCTACATTTGACCTTCAAATATGCTTATCTGTTTGCAAAGCTGGCCTGGCCCAGAAAGTTATGCTTTCGCCCATAATCACCATGTCCTTTCCTCGTAGTTTTATCATTTGTTAAAGCAGCAGCCGGATGAACCCCATACCCCGAGTCCCCAAGTCAGCTGACTGCCAAGCCAGGGACAGCCTGCGGCTCCATGCTTTTTCCAAGAAAGACCTTACCTTGATTCCATTTGTTTCAGAATGAGCTGTGTCATCTATAAGAGAAAGCCACAGTTAAACCTTGACAAATGAACGAAGTAACAATGGGTGGGGGGACTTGGGAACCAAGTGCAGAGGAAGCTGGAGAAAGAGCTTAATCTTCTCAGATGGCCTTGAAAATCTGCTGACACTCATTGGAGGTAATCTGGCAACACTAGAGTCTGGCTGGAACCCACAGGAGACAACTAGACAAATGGCAAACTGTTCAGAGGCCTCTGGTTTCTTCCCCATGGAGCTAAAGTCTTCCTGCAAAATGAGGGCAATGAAAAATTATGGAAATGGGCTTATGGCTGTGAGATCAACACTGAGGTTCCCCAGATACTCTTCTTTTGAGAGACAGGCAAAAGTAGCCTGGCCATCAGAAACCACACCATGAGGTGGAATTGGAGGATGGTCAGGAAATCTCACAAGTGTCCGTGATTATCTCACATACAAGGTATGAGATGGAGAACGACATCTCTTGAGTTCAACAGTTGCCACACAAGCAGCCTGAAGGTGGTCTGTCAAATAGCTCCCTAGACAGAACATGTCTGTCTGGAATTACAACAGCATTGACAAGTCCCTTCCCCCTCTTAACCTACTGCCACCTGAAGAGGTTTTCCCTGCCAGCTCTAGAGCTTAAATATCCCATTAAAAGAGATTTTTCACATCATAAATACAATGCACACATTTTAAGAATTAAGGAAGAGGCAAACCCACGGACTGAATGTTCTTGAATGTATCACTGAGTGGAATCAGGCCTGACCATGGGAGCAGGTTTGAGACAGAGAGGAACCAAACAGAAGGGGAAGTCAGCAAAATAGAGAAATGAAGGAGACTGGGGCCAGAAGACAAGTCTTGCCTATTTCTCCATGTTGTCTGGGGCCTTGCGGGAGCTTTTCAGTAGGCTCTGGTCCCTGCTACCCCACCGAAGCCCAACCCCAGGAGCCTCCAGGTAATGTCTTCACTGCTCTGGGCAGCAGGAGAGGGGGTAGGGCTGGAAAATCCCTAGAACCCACTGGACTGCCTCCTGAATCACTGGATTTGAGGGAGGCAAAAGAAGGATGAGGGCTAGACTGTGGCATCATCCTTTCCTTGACTCTCCCAGCTTCATTAAAGGTATGACTGGAGCGCTGTTGGACAGCATTCCTCAAAGTCTCCCAGATGAACTCACTAGCATTTTTGGGTGAATGATCCCAATTAAAGAGATAATATTGGACTTTGTAGGTCCCTGGCTCAAAGCTCCCAATATTTAGTCTCTTATCCCACCTTTCATTTGCCCTCAAAGTCATTCTCTCACCTATGCCCTTGAGAGAGAACCCTACTATTTCCAGACAGGTCCTTTGGAATCATTATGTGATGCTGGTCATACTTGGCATACGTAGCATACTTAGCCTTCAATTTGTTTTCTTTGTTACTTAGGGAAGTCAGTGTCTACCAATATATAAAATATTTTTCTTGGGAAATCAAAGCATTTCTCTGCTTAAAGGAGTCAGATGGTTGTCAAATACACTCTGGAAACCCTGTGATTAAATGGACCAAGACTGAAAAATCAATATGTAAAACAATGTGGAAGATTTTAGTAGTGAGGCTGCAGACAACAGTTGGACGTAGGAAGCTTACAATTATGTCAGCTGGGGGTTTTAAAAAGCCATTGATTTCTCAGAATAAAAAGAATGTGTGTACTGATAAAATCTGAGCAACAAACTATAAAATATGCTTACAAAAAACAACCATTGGTCTAAATAATTGTTGTCAGCCAAACTTATGCTCTTGAAAATAATTCTATTTTGGTCTGCTCAGCATCCGTCCCCCTTCCGTATGTTGATAAAACCTCTGTTCCTCTGGGAAACCAGGCCTCCACTGCCTGTCCTGTTGTTCAGATGAGACCGAGCCTCCCGCCACTCCCCAGCCAGGGTCCCAGCTCCATGAAATCAGGGCTCATACCTGACTCATTGCTGCGGTTCCACTGGACCTTCCAGAGTGGTCGGGAGGGCTGCCATGAGCAGCTGTGAATTTTGCGTACTGAGCAAGGTGCCCAGATGTGGGGATGAGTGGGGGCTGACAGCCCAGCATTCACCCACAAGCCATTTGGAGGACTCTAGCCATTCAGAGGAAAGGGAAACATGTTTACGCAAAAGCATCATCTCCTCACCGAGTCAGGCAGCATCAGGCTGTGTCCACTCTTCAGCAGTACCTTTTTCCAAACTGTCTGCCCAGAGGGGTGCCTTTCTCTTATTCATGCGAAGACACCATACAGGCTAGCTCTGGGGTGGTCCCCTTATAAACGCTTATGCAGTTGACTCTAATCAAAGGGCCTGAGTGCTGAATAGCATCTGAGACGGCACTCAGTCCAACACTATTAACAACAGAGGAAGAACCTGAAGTTCAAGGGGGTTAGACAACTTGCCCAATGCTGTCCAAATAACGAGTAGCTGAGCTGGGAGCAGAATAGACATGAACTTAAACTTCAATTCAACAAGTATTTATTGAACAGCAAAAAATTCAGAAAAATCCAAGCCATGCCCTCTGTCATTTTTCCAAACAGAGCAAGCTTTCCTCTATTTACAAAGACTAAAATCAGAGGAAGATATTAAATTTAAAAAAAGCAAAAGCTGTCTTGGACTCCTGCATAAGTTTCAGGATTGTCAGGCCTAATATGTTCTGACATGTGACAAAACTGAATGCAGAAATAGGATTCAGATACTAGGGAGAATAAATCCATCACTATTTTCTTGATGAAAACAGAATAAGACAGTTAAAAGACCACTACATGACCTCTCACTCAAGTGTGGTTCAGTTTCAAAGAATTCTGCTTCAATAGAGAAGAGAGCGCCGCTCCTGAGTTGCAAATTCCAACAGCTGCGACATTTTAATGCGGTTAACGTATTGATCACATACCTTCACTACTGAGGTGATGTTACAATGGATGAGGCTCTGTAACAAATAATCACAACCACAAATCAGCCAGATCATTTAAGAAATTCTCTTGAGAAGTAGTCAGTGCTAAAGAACTATAAAGTGGGTCAAAATGTGTGTGTGAGCAATACCCTCACTCACTCAGCCTGCAAATTCAGCTCCTAATTGACGTTCAGCAAGTATGCACCAGAACTGGGAAACATCTGACATCCATACTATGATTCTATAAGAATGCCATCCTGCATAGAAGTCAATTGAGAGTTTCCTTAAAAATTCGGGGAGGAATATGGACACAGTTTTTCAAAGGGAGATGGTTAATTTGCAGCTAGAGGAAGCATTTAGCATATGTGGGTCTAGAAGACAACAGCATAGAGAAGAGAAAGGTGAAATGTTGTACAATACAAGGCAGAGGTTCTGGGCTACAGAGGACAGATAAAGACACTACTAGAGTCACCCAAGACAGACAGACAGGGAAAGAGGGACAGTCACAGAAACAAGCACAAATGCAGACAAAAATAGAGAAAGAGAAGCAAGAATGGAGCCTGCTTAATGGAGAGACGCAGACTGTGCCAGAAACAGGGACCTCGGGGTTAGATGTGCGGCCAAGAGGGAGCTTGGCAAGGATGCGCAGCAATATCTGAGCAATCTGGCATTATATGCTCGTCCAGTAGACGTGGCACTTAAATAGGACCTAGGAATACCTGCGAGATCCGGGCATGGAGGCATGATAGCCTGTTCAGAAGTGGTATAACCCCATGACCTTGAAGGTCAGGGCCTGGAGAAGATCAACAAATAGTGCCTTCCAGGACTCTTAACTGCATAACAAATTCACTCCTGACCAACAACGGCAGCCATGGGTCTGAGTCAAGCTTGCCGAACTTACAACACCCCCAACCACAGAGTTTGTATCATGGAACTCCCTCACAATCTTACTACCTGGGAAGACAAAGAAAGCCAAAGAGCTGGCCTTCTGCCGTTTACATCCACAGCCATGAATGTGTTGGGTGGAATTACCCACCTTTTAAAGCAGAGTGCAGAGCCCCAAAAGACTGGGACAGTGGGCAAGTTTTGATGTGTGGAGTAGGGGAAAGAGATGGTCATGAAAAGGGGCACCCTTGACTGTGTATCAAGTGCTGAAGTGAAAAAAAAGGGAGCCCTTCAGACATCCACCTGGAATACAGGATTTTGGCCACACACACTCCTGTTGCCCCTCCCAGGCCTTGGTGATTGTCCAGCCAGGGGCCCAGTACCTGGGGAGAGGAACCATGCCCAGAAAGCACAGGCCCACCTGGATCTCATCCGGTGAATTAAGGAAATGTCTCGGGAGAAGGTCTGGAAGCATTCCAACATTGTTGACTGACAGAAAGAAGCAAAACAAAAAGATGTCAGAAGAGCTGGTGGCAAATGTTTATTGAAAGCCTCAAAAATGTTCATATTCAACCCAGAATTCTCTTGGGAAGTTTTCCTAAGGAAACACATACAAAAAGATTCATATATTAGGTTGTTCACTGCAACATGATTCGATAGGAGTGAGCAAATTGGAGGGAAAAAAATTTGTTGTCTAATAATAGGAAGCACATTAAGTGAATCATGGTGCAGCCACATGGTGGAAAGCAATAGAGTCATTCAAAACCGTGGCTGCTTAGAATTTCAAAGACATGGGAAAACATTTGTGATGTATGGTTTTATAAGTGTCACAAAACAGTATGTAAACTTAATTCTGGTTTTGAAAATATGTGTGTATGTATCTGGAAGGATATACACCAAAATGCCATCTCAGACTGCTGGGATTTTAAGAAATTCATATTTCTTTTATGTGCTCATCTATTGTTTCCAGGTTTTCTGCAATAATATGTTTTACATTTTTATTAGTAAAAAATGTAATTATTTTTCAAATTCAGTGGGAAGTTTAGAAATCGAATCTTACTTCCCTCTGTGTACAATACAAAACTGTACTGTATGTGTGGTTATAGAATAGCTTGTCTACAAATCATCATAGAAAAGAATATTATCTTTTTTCTGAGTTAGAGAGTCGATTCTCAAATAACCGCACTGACTTGCTATTTCGTGGATCAATCAGAGCAACGTTTGTTTGCTAAACTAATTCCTTTAGGCCAATGTTTCTGAGATTCTCCCTTCCTGGCAATTGTCAATATCAGTTCAGTGAAAGAAAATTCATTTTAATATTAGGAAATATGGTAGGGAAGGTGGAAATATGTGGGTTTGATACATTCCAAAGCCATATATAAATTTGTGAATCCAGTCTGCCTTTTGAAGAACTGAGCTTTAACATTCCGTTTATTCTACAGATTAGAATACAGCCATGGGTTAAGTTTAAGCCACCATGGAATAATCAAGTGTCACTGAGATAACTATTTCACTGATGCATTACAAGGAGCTGTGCATTTTGCAATTTACTTACCTAAAATTCCAATTTCTAAGCCTTTAAGTTTTTCTTTAATATCCTCATAGATGTCATCTTTGGTAAAATCTGTTTGTATAATCTTCACACTACTCCCTGTAGTCCTCTCTGCATTAGAGACAACAGTTATTTTTTAATGACAGGGGTCCAAATCCTCCTCTGCCCATGGGGCTCCCCCGATGCTCCTGGACCACCTGGGCAGACATTGAGGAGCACAAGTCCATCACCCCAATTAGAAACAAGAAGCAAGGGCTGACCCGTGGCCGAGTGGGTAAGTTTGCGCGCGCCCCGGCAGCCCAGGGTTTCCACGGTTCAGATCCTGAGCACAGACCTAGCACCACTCATCAGGCCATGCTGAGGCGGCGTCCCACATGGCACAACCAGCAGGACCACAACTACAGTATACAACTATGTACTCGGGGGCTTTGGGGAGAAAAAGAAGAAGGAAAAAAAAAAGATTGGCAACAGGTGTTTTTAAATCTTTTAAAAGCAAAGCAGGAAGCAGCCCTGGAGAAGTGCTGGGATGCGCTGAAAGATCTGCGAATGATGTTTCTGTCCGTTTCTAAGAGTTACTATAGTGACGAGTATATACATTAAAACAGGTTTAATGCAGCGCTTCTTAAACTGGGGTCCACAGAACACAATATCAGCACCACCGGGAACTTGTTAGAAACAAACTCTCAGGCTCCCCTCCAGACCTAGCGAAACAGAAACCCTGGGAGCAGGCCCAGCCACCTGTTTTCAGCTGTGTTCCAGGGAACTCTGGTATGAGCTGGTGGTGGAGACCCCAGGACTAAGTGCTGTCAATGTGAGGCGGCCTCTGCTTGGTCAGTGTCAGGTCCCTCTGCACAGACACAGCAACGCTTTCTATCCATCCCACACTTTAGCGTTCACAAAGCATTTAAATACACAATATCTTAGTTCAATCCTCTCTACAGCCTTGCAGAGCAGGTATTATCCCCATTTTCCAGAGGAGGAAACTAAGGCTGGGAGGAGCTAGCTAACTTGCCCGAGGGCGCCCACACGCTGCTCCCGCCAGGTTAGCACTCCTTCCACACTTCTCTGTGGTCGCCTTGTGCAGGGACCTTCAGGAGGACGCAAAGCAACAGGCAGATTTCGCCAGCTGCTGTCTGCTCAGCTTTGGCAGTGGACCCAATATTTCTGGGTCAAGCGATCTTGAGGCATAGTTGGGGGGTGGGGGATGTTTTCAGACTAAAGACGCTTCCTGCTTTTCAAGAGGATGATAAAAAGCACATTTCAGCATTGTGAAGGAAACACTAAAGAACGTCCTAATCCCGGCCAAAGTTGCTTCTGATACCGAGACCCAGAATAAAAGCAGAATTCAGTGGTCCAAGGGCACAGAGCTCCACAGCACGATCACTCAGCCCCGCACCTCCCACCTCCATCTCCCAGCCAAAATCTCCCCAGGGACACGGGGCCATCCCTCAGACGGCCTGCACGGTCTTCCTGAGGCTTCAGAATCAAACGTACATTCCTTTGAGGTAAGGAGTTTATTAATTACTAAATAAATAATTAATTATTAAAATAAAATACCCAAAAGAGGAATATTGTGATCATCATTAAGAACACTTCAGAGTGGATCATAATAATAAAACCTTATAATATAACATACATTATAATATAAATTCTGCCTCCTAGGATTATACAATGTACAACCTTCACAACCATACATGGCAGCCCTGGATCAAATCTTTTTTAAAAATCTGACAGCCACAGTAAGCACCATCACTTACCCTCTTGCAAGGAGCAGAGCATGCACACAGGGAAGTGAAGTCCCAAATACATATCCCGCTTCTGAAGGGAGTGGCAGAAGCAATAGGCAGCTGGAATCTCTGGGTGAAGGGGACTGATTCTAGAGATGAAGGTGCCAGAGAAAGGAGGGAGTGGATCTGCTAGTGTCTGAGTCTGCTCCTGCCCCACCTGGCCCAGAGTCACTGGTGAACTGAAGCTGACACAACGTAAACTGGGCTCTAGCAGGAGGGCTGGCACCCCAGGCTCTAGTCAGAAGACTAGGGATGCTGAAGGGATGTCTACAGGCAGAACAGGAGCAGACTTGGCTGGCGGGCTTCACGACCATCTCCCTTATGTCTTGGGGTCACTCACCAATCTCTGTGGCAGTGGCCTGTAGCTTTTCCAGTGTCCGGCTGATAAGCACAACGTTGAGTCCTTGTCTTGCCAGCTGGGGGTGGGGATGGGAAAACCCAAAAAGACAAAGGTGATAAGCAGACGGGGAAGGCTTGTTTCAAGGTGAATTGGGGCATCACCTTGCTTCTCCTGGGCTTAAAGTTGCAGAACGTGACAAAGGTTTCTGGGTTACTAGCAAAACAACCACACTGGGCCAGGCTCAATGTGACATAGTAATTTATTTGTGTATGTTTACTACAGGCCAGGAACTACTCTGAGCGCTTTTTTGCACAGATCCACAATCTGAATGCCCTCTCATCTGAAATGCCTGGGGTCAGACATGTGTGGGAATTCAGAATTGGGAGAGTTTTATACTATAATTCATGTAACAGGGTCTAGGGCAGCACCTCAAAATAAAAAACAGTATTTCTACAGCAACTTTGGAGCTGCTTCCCATTCACAAGAACGTGCTCCATGAGGTTCGCTTCACTCGGGTGTGGTCCAGGACCCGAGCCTCCCTCCCTGTTCTCAGGCAGGAAATGGAGCAGGAACCCAAGGGCAGATGGGGCTTCCCAGAGATCAGCAAGAGCGTTCTTCAGAACAGACACTGCCTAGACTCATGGTTTATACTGTTATTTTTTTAAATTTCGGTAAAATACACATAACATAAAATTTGGTATCTTAACAAAAATATGGAATGTTTTGCAAATTTGTGTGTCATCCTTCACAGAGCCCATGCTAATCTCCATATCCTCCCAGTTTTACTACACGCCCTGCCAAAGCGAGCATATGTCATTATTTTAATAAGGAATTACATACTATAGAAAAGGCGTAAGAAGCTGAATTAAAGATTATACTACACAGTCTCCAACAATTCAAGCCCGTGGTCCCAGAATCATTCAGGAAGATGTCCAAAAACACCAATTCCCACCAAAGCCATCCAAATAAAAATCTCTGGGATTGAAGCCTCGACATGTACATCTTTTTCTGTTTTAATTATTTAATTATACTATTAAATACACACGTATGTTCTCGTTGTGGAAGATGCCCCACTGCCCCACGTCCATCTCCCCCAGCCCCAGGTCCCGCTGCCTTGAGTCTGACGCCCAGCTGCCTCGCTCTTTCTCTGCGTCTACGTGCAGGTGTAAGTATGTACCAAAAGGAAAGTCCACTGTGTGGGTTTCCTTCCTTTTCACCCTTTATAAACTGCATTATAAGTATTATCTTTTAAACTTGGTATGTCTTATCTCTAAGAACTTCGTCTATTTCCACATCAGCCCATGTAGAGCCACGTGACTCTTTTGATTGCGTCACAGGGCTCCACAGTTCACTTTGCTCGGAGCACTGCAGTTGTTTTCAAGTCTTCCCATGACCCATATTGCTAGAGTGAAAACCCTCCCATATAACTCTTTGTATATACAAGTGGACTGACTCCTAGAGTAGATAGAAAAGAGGTGGAATTGTGTCAAAGAGTGTATGCTTTTTAAATTTTAATACTACTGTCAAAGTGCCCTCCCTTAAAACTGTACCATCAAAAATAGAATTATAGCTATTTCTCCACACTCTGGCCAATACTTGATATTAGCAACCTTTTTCAACTGTTTCCAACCTAATGGTCAAGAAGTTACATTCCTTTATTATTTTTAATTGCATCAGTGGGGTGGATGTCTTTTTGTGCATTTATGTGTGAATTTCCAGTGTACACCCTTTGTGACTTCTTCTACTAGGTTATCATTTTCTTATAAATTTCTAGGAGTTTTTTAAATATATTCTGGGTATTAATTATTTGCCTACTATATATGTAGCAAGTATTTTCTCCTTTGTTTATGGTGTGCTTGCCATACCTTATATATTAATTTTAATGTTATCAAGTTTGCAAACATTTTCCTTATTTTTTAAATTTCCTTTATGATTTTCTCTAACTCCAAAGATATAAATTTGTAGTTTGTTTCTTTTTTTTTCTTTTTGAGAATAGCATAAGCTTGAAATTATCTAGTGTGATTTTTTTTCAAAATGGGTAGGTAATTGTCTTGACATTTTTCTATTTGTTCATTCTTTCCTGATTTAAAATGCTAACTTAGTCATATGCCAAGTTCTCATATGTACACAGGTCTCTTTCTGATCTGTCTGTTCTGTTTCATTGACCTATTTGTCAATTTCTGCGCCATTACCACTTCTGGTTTAATCATAATCTTCTAACAGGCTTGAATATCTGATGTCTGGTAGAAGTTGTTCCTACCATTTATTATTGTCCTTCAAAATGTTTCTGTTTTATCTTCTTAGTTTAATTTTCCAAATAAATAATAAAACTGTCTAGTCAAGTATTATATTGAAATTAGAGATATTTAGGGGAAAAGTTACGTCTTTTTGGTAATCATTGTCTCATCCATAAATACAGTATCCATCTATTCAGATCCCATGTGTTCTTCTAAAAACTTTTAGAAGTTTCTTCATATAAATCTTGGACATTTCTTGTTAATTTGCGTTAGTTAGGATAACATTAGCTGCTGCAACAAAGAACTCCAATATTTCAGTGGCTTAACACAGTGAAGCTGGTTTTTTGTCTTGCATAATAGACTCTATTCTGCATAGTCATTTAGGGCCCATGGCTGAGAAAGGCTTTGCCATCTTCAACACTAGGTCTCTAAGATTGCCCTTGGGTGTAATCCAGCCAGTGCAAGGATTAAAAGAGGGTAGAGAAGATACATGCGATCCCTCGGTCACCTGGACCAAAGTGACACACATCATTTCTGCTTGGTTTCATTGGCAAAATTAGTCCCATGACCCCATCTGGATGTAAGGGAGTCTGGGAAATTGTGTGGGCAGCTGGCCCCTTACCAGCTACAACTCCATACCATGGAAAACAGAGTGGGGATGTGGGGGGACAGTTAACTGTTCCTGCCACCAATATCTTAATTTGTTGCCATCGTGAAGTAAATTATCATGTAAAGAAGACACCCTAGAATTATACTTAGATTCCAGTCCTGTTTCTACCATTTGTGCAAGGTACGCTACTTGGTCCTTTGGTTTCCTCATTGGCAAAGGAGGATCCCAACAGACCTAATATATTAAAGAGTGCATGGCACAGGAACTGTCACGTAGGAAGCACTCACTAGCATTATTTGTTCTATATTTTTTAATTTTATTTATATATTTTCTATCTATTTCATTTTATTTCTAGATTTTTTTTTCTATATATTCTAATTTGCTATTATTTGCGATTAGGAACTCCACCCAGCCGCCTCGCTGAATTATTTCGTGCATTCTAATAGTTTGTTCATCAATTTCATGATGGACAATAATATTCTCTACAAAGTACAGTTCTGTCCCTTCCTCTCCAGTATTTGCATACTTTCAGCCTCATTATCTTGGCCAACACCTCCCGCACAGTGTTAAGCAAACATAATGTCTGTTCCTCCACTGTGCTGAGAACACTTTGAATGTTTCTCAATACGAAGCATGATGTTTCCTATTATTTGTGGGCAATATATTTTATCAATTTAAGAACATTTTCATGTATTCCTTTTTTCCAAATTACTTCTTTTTTAAATGCCTGGATTCAGTTTGCTAATACGTAATTTGGGTCATAGTACTCTTGTGCTATCTTTGTCCCATTTTGATATCAGAGTCATGTTAATCTGTCTACACAATTCATGAAACATGTAGGATGACCAACTTGTCCTAGGATTTTCCCAGTTTTAAAACTGAAAATCCCACATCCCCAGCACCGCCTCAGGCCCAGGTGACTCAAGATGCCTAGTCATCTAGACACTTTTTCCCCTATTCCTTGAAGACTTAGTAATGTCTACTTGTAAAAATGTCCCGGTGTTTTATTTACATGTAGCCCTTCATTCATAACCGCCTTTTCCATTTCTTCCGTATTGATCTCCTGATGTTTTCCACCTCTTCTTGAGCCAATTTTGAGAATTCCTATTTCCACAGAATGTCATTTCTTTCATCTAGATTTTCAGTTTGTTGATTCAGAGATTGAAATAGTAGATTCTTCCTTTCTTTTTCTTTCTGACTGTTCTTTTTTTAAAATCTTCTTGTCTGTAGCCAGTTTCCTAATGTTGTTCCTTCTCTTTTTTTTTTCTTTTTTAAGCTTTTCAAAGATTTGTTTCCTTTTTTGGTCTTTTTAAAGAATCACTTTTTGTTGATCAGTTCAATTTAAACTGATCAGTTTATTCTTGTGTTTCCTATGTCATCAGTTTTTGTTCTCTTTATTAATTTACTTCTTCTCTCTCTTTTGGATTTATTTTATTGTTCCTTTTCAAGAATTTCTTGAAAGCTCAGACTATTTGCAGTCTTCCTTACTTTCTAATAGATGTATTTAAAGCCAAAAATTTTCATCTGCATAGCACTTTGACTTTAATTCACAGGAGTGTCCATTTTTCTTTTTTCTTTAATCTTAGAGCTACATTGAAGAATAATTTTTCAATATAGATGAGGGAGTAGATATCATTTTCTAAGATTATTTTTAATTCTATTGCATAGTCGGCAGTGAATGATATGTTTTTTGCTATTGTAATTTATCACAATTTTCTTCACAGCCTAATAAGCAGACAACTTTTACGAATGTTCCACATGTATCCTTAAGGAATGTGTATTTGATCTTTGTTGGTTACCCAGTTTTATATACTGTTGTCTATTAAACTAAACTTAAGGTTTACCAAATATTGGTTAAACCAATGTGAGAGGATATTCAAATCCCTTATAGCCGTAATTATTTTTATATACGTAAGAAGATTGTAAATGAGAAGTTTCAACAGAAGTGCTAAGACCCAAAAGATATCAGATCACAAAGTGATTTCCGAGAGAAAACCAAGAAAAAAATGTTCAAAATAACGTCTAAGAACTGATCATTGCTCCTGGAGCCCTTCCCTGGTGGACCTCTTGCTCGTATAAAAAGTGCAACAAGACAGAGTGGCAATTAAGAGGGCTTGTGAGAAGGTTTCTTTGCTTCCTCCTGCTGCCCAGCAGAGGCTTCCCTCCAAGGGCAGCGTGAGGGAGGGGCACTACCTGCCTCTCACCTCAAGTCGACAGAGAGGGGACCAG